AATATAAAATTAATTGAAAGAAGAGAATTCATCAATGCCAAACTTTAGAACAATCAAATATTTTTACTTTTATATAGTCACAAGTTTATTCTTCATATGTTAAGTAATGAACAAAACAAAACATCAGAGAAACATTCTCATTAACAAGTACAATTACAACAAGTATTTACACTAATCGAAAAAAAATTTCGAAATTTCTCGAAATCAAAAGGTTTAACTCTACAAGACTCTAACCTTCTCGTTTCTCTTTTACCTGGATGCTTTTTATAGACGGTTCCATACTATTATCATTATTGCCTTTGCAGAAGTAACTGCTAATGCGAATCTATTTGACTTCTAGTCGCCAATATCGATCAAGTAATGTTTTGCCAATGTGCTGCCTGTGTAATGTGAAACAAATGGAAAAAAAAAACAGAAGAGAAAAGGTACACGAGGATAGTCTAGCAGTTGTTTTACTATTGAAGACATACATAGAATGATAGAAAGATAGGAGATGTAAGATAAAAAGAGAAGAAATGTTACTAATAAGTCAAGATTTGGTAGTAGTTCTGATAATAGATGAAAAGAAAGAGATACTAAACAGAACAGGAAGAATTTTTTTTTTTTGTTCTTTCTCCGATTGATTTTGCGGTATGCCGTTGTACAAATATATACTGAATGTTAGATTGTTTATTTTCGCCTTTTCTCCTTCTTTTTCTTTTTTTTTTTACCATATACAACAAGAACAACTGGTTCTTGTGTCGTCTCGTCGCTCTTAATGTATGGGTTTTACAATTTCCTCTATCTCACATAATTATCCTTTTGATAATCTCATACTTTATAATTTATTAGATTGTAACAGAAAACGTTCTTTTCTGTTGATTTAGTTAACTCATTTTCTATAAAAGAGAATAGTTGGTGAGTGATATTTTATATTGTTTTATTAAGACAAAAGAAACTAGATATTCTTTTTGAATTATGTATTGTTTTCAATGATTGCTTATTGTATAATAATTTTCATACATATAAGTTCATATATATGTTTATTTAGATAATTATTTAATGTCTTTTTTTTGAAATGAAAACAAAAGAAAATGAAAGACATCAAATAAATTTATCTCTATAACAACTGAAGAGAAACAAACCAAATGAATATGTCAAAAGATTAATTTGTACTCTATTGACATATGTCGATGATTAGACTTTAGTTAAATATATGAAAGAAAGAATATAATAAAAAAAACAGATAATTAATTATAAGATCTTGTCAGCATCTACGTTGTCATAAAATATTTTCGATGTATATTACATTCTATCGAGAAGAAAAAAAAATTAATCGATTTATCTGTACTTGTGTATTTTTCTTTAATAATAATTGATTGCATCAAGTATATTGAGAACATGGTAATCGTTCATAGTGAGGGTGTGGGTGTAGGGTGTGGATGGGATATCGGTGTGAGCATGGGTTTATTTCTCACCTACAGCCACCAGCACCCATATCCACACCCACACCCACACTCGGCTCATGCCAAAGTAAATTCTTATCATGGAGTCCTCGAGTTGTTGTTGTGAAAAAAATCTATGGGATTTTTTATTTTGAATAAAAAGTTTAACGCCTTCATCGAAACATTTCATTGCCATAGAATAGTTTTCTTGCCTCGAGTAAATTGATCCGATGTTATTAAGTAAATCAAGATGTTTTAGAATATCATCTGATGCAATTTGTGTAAGTTCTTCACGATAAATCAATAGCAGATGATCTTGTTGATCAGAATTATCCAATAAACCAGAGAGATTAATATCTGTTTTTTTAAATTCCACACTATCATTATAAGGTTGATTATTGTTCAATATATTCCAACAGATCTGAAATTCCTCAAATGTAAACTTATCGTATGGTAGAATTGAAATTCGAACAATTTCAAGAGCTTTTTCCATGTACTCCTAAGCAGCAATCTTGTCATTTTCTTCTTGATATATTTTCGATAACAAGAGATATATATGCGCAAAACTTTCATGATTTTTCGGGAGTATTTTTAATTGATTTTCTAGTGCTTTCTTTGTTATTTTCAATGCTCTGATATTATTGCCCAATTCTAATTGCATCGCTCCAATATTTAATTGTAATTTGAATAAAGTAACATGCTTGTCACCAGCCTGCGTATGTAAAAGTATTCTTAAAGCTGTTTCTGAATGATATACAGCTCTAAGTAGTTCATGCATTTCATGATACACTGTACTGATATTATTATGTGTAATGGCTAATGATTCATGATTGGTACCAAAAGTTTGAGTATCAATTTCAAGTGCTTTCTCGAATAATTCTAATGCTTTCTTCAGCTCGCTTTTTCTTTGATACACAAGGCCCAAATTTGATTAAATTGCAGCAAGATCTGTATGAGTAAAAACAGTACCTTTGAGACGAATATCTAATGCATGATGTAAATGTTTTAAAGCATTTTCATTATCATCCAATTGTACATATATTTCACCGATATTATTATACATAGTTGCCATTACAGAATTATACTGATTTGTTTTTAAGATTTGTTCTTCAATGTGTAATGTTATTTGAAAATATTCTAAAGCTAATTGTGCGTTACCTTTATCTCGATATAATAGGGCAATTTGATTGTATGTATATGAATGTGATTTAGGTGATGTTTGGATATCAGTAGCCATAGTAAAATATTTCAAAGTTAAATCAAGATCACCAAGACGGTTATGTGCTGTACCCATGCCAACATATTCTCGACCGATATTTTCCTGTTCATTATAAATACTCGATTTATTCAAGTATTCTAGAGCTTTTTCATGATATTTTAATGACATTTGATGATCTCCTTTATCGCGAGCAATTATTCTCAAACACGAGTAAACGCGATGCGTATTCGGATGACCTTCAGGCATATATTCCAGTAACATACGAAAATAGCGTTCAGCTCTCTGATAATCGCCCATTGTTATTAGAGCGATCCCTAGACTGCATAAATCATTCTCGTCACAGTATTTCTTCTCTAATTCATTTCGAAACTCACTGATATCACTATCATCTTCAACCAATTTTAGTCTTATATGCCAATATCCATTGATTGTTCGCCTATCCTCAATAGATTCAATACGAAACATCGATCCAACCGAAAACACAACTTCAGATTCATCTGAAAATGTAGTCGAAGCATTGAGTGAAGCAAATGATCTTTTGCTTGTCGAATGAGTAATATCCACGTCGATTTCAAATACAACAGATAATACATCCAGATCTGGGCATTGTACCAAAGCCAGAAAACATTTCCGCAACACTTATATCTTTGGTTGTAGAAAAGAATATATTAATTGATATTAAATGACCAACATTATTCTTTATATTATTGAATTCTAGATCAGTTATAAGTTGTCCATGATACACAGTATGTGGAAGATTATCAGGAAATTGTTCTAAATATAATTTTTGTAGGTGTTTGTACATATCGGCTGAGAAAAATCGAAATATGAACAATAAATCAATATTCTCCGTTCGAAAAGCTCGATTGAATAAACGATATAAAAATGAATCATTGGTGTAAAATTTTAGAGCTTTCATTGGTTTATAATTCTTTTCAAAGTCTATCATATCTTTTTCTGCTTTTTTATCATAGTTGTTCATTGCTATATTAACCATGTTTTCTTCTCTATCTTCATCGTCTTTATGAGGTATTCCATGATGTTTTCGACATTCAAGGAACATTTCATCTTTTGCTTTATCATTGTATGGCACTTTAATTAAAATATCAATTAATAGTTGAAACCATAAAAATCGAGCGTTGTCTTTGCTTAAATCTCGGACTGTTTTCTCATTATTATCTCGGAGGAAGACGCTCACAGGGATTGATGAACATTTTAGATGATGTTCGTATTCTTCAGATAATTCTTCAGACAAACTTTGAATATTAGAATATACACCATGTAGTTTTGACCTGGAAAGTTGTACACTTATAGTTAATTCTTGCTAAGTTTGTAGTATATAAATAGCAATAACTTGTGAGTAATTAATAACTTTTTCTATAATAATATTATTATTCCCATATGATGAAATAAAAAATATTTTTGCATGACCAGATGATTTGATAAAATTAATACATTGATCGACATCGAAAAAAACTTTTAACGAATTGATAATATCTGATATGGATGATGTATCAATTATTGTACGATAATTGTTATCTTGTAGCCAAACAACCGAATATTCATCGACCTTAAATGCTTCTTGTATTAGAAGTTTAGTTTTTGCGTTTAATAGGCTTAACGACATTCATTGGCATTAAATCTTGCTTAAATATTTCAATGTCTTCTAGCAAATGATTATCAGCATCGGGTGAATTTTCTTGAACAATAGCTCGTAGTTTTGAATATTGATCTATTTTGTATTTTACGTTCTTTGCTGATTCCGAATAAATATAGAAAAAAACAATTTGTGGTAGATTATGAATTAGTTCAAGTAGGTAACTAAACTTATCAGTGAGTGTAAGAAATACCTTACGTCATTCATATGATGTAATAAAATCAATACATTGATCAACATCATGAAATATTTTATAACTTTTTTCAATTATCGCATTACTATTATCATTCTTTTTCCAAACTTTACATATTCGAACATTTTCTCCCATATTTAATCGTTCGTCCAAATGGATTTCGATAAAAAATTCATTACCATATTCTGTGTTTGGAATAGAATCATTTGGTACAGGTAAAAAAACAAAACCTGCCATTATAATAACTGCACAAAAGATAGAATTAATGAAAAAAAATGAAAATATGTTACAATGAAAAGTGACGAAAAATCTCTTAAGAAAGTCTTCATAGACAGATCAAGGATGACCTCCCTATTCGAAGTACTCGTCAAAATTAGATGTTTTCACTCTTAATGAGCATTTGAAAAGTGTGGATGGGTAAAGGTAGAGATTTAGTTGACTTGAGTCAGAGAGGACTGACAACCCCATATCCTACTTATTCATTGGACTACATTTACAAACTGCTCTTTTCCTCACGATCAATTTTCACTCGTCCAAGTAAACGTGTGCTCTTGCGAGATTCTGATGATGTTTTTCGAAACTTCCCGTATTATTGATAAACTAGTATATTTTCAAATCTGATCACTGTTAGGATTAATTTTCTCTTTAGCTAATACGTTTGACCCAGGGGAAAAAGCTGATTTCACACGCCGGAATCACTCAGAATCACATAAAGCCATGGGCACATTACAAGATCCGGGGTCTTCTATTATGCCCCTAAAAAAAGACATATTTCGTGATAATATCAACGACCGTTTCTCATTTTAATGCTTTTTTAGTTTGTCCACTATATCGTTAGTCAATAAGTTTATTCTACGTAACTGACGCTCATACAAAGGAAACGAAAGAGATAATATCTCAGTGCAAAAAAGCAATACTTGGCAAGGAGAGTGTTCTCGAAGCAATAGAGACAACAAATCATAAAACCTTGGTACGATTTGTAAAAAGCATTATTTTCTTTTTGCTTATGTTGAGGTTTGATTAGTACAGATAATATGTTCAAAGTAAAGTGTACTGCAATCTAAGTTATTATTTCATAGATAATTTGAATAAATATGGTTGTTCACTGAGAAACAGTTTATAGAAATGAGCCGTTGAATACAGGTCGACAGTGTTTTACGATTCTTTATGTCTATTTCGAACAATACTTTTGCATCTTTCTACGACAAGAAAACTGCTCATACATAGAAGTCGTATTCCATAGAATACGGCTCAATGCATCTCCTCGAAGATATGTTCTTTTTAAACTATGAATGAGTTTTTCTGTGATAAAAACCTGTACAGATAGAGCGAGATCTTAGGTAATAGACAATACGATTTTACTCAATATGTTCTTATTTCAGGGAGATTTTTCATGTATGGCACGTTTGTATGCATATCACGTTCATTAGATCCTACCACCGTGGGGACGAATTTTTTCTATACAAAAACAAGAAAGTTTCTTGAGAACATGACGCAAAGGAGCGGTAAAGTGGCTACAAGACACTTTTTTCGTAAAGAAACGTATTTTCTACTTAAGTGTTCTTTCTTATTAGGTTTCTCTCATGAGATGTCCAATTTGGGTGTGGGTGTGGATGCTGAAGACACACTCACACCCACACCAAATATCCAACTAAGAGAGGAACCGTAGAATAAATTTGATGTATTAGTGCTTATTTTGAAACTTAGAAAATGTTTAAGGTTGATTGAATTCGATAACTGTATAATGCATTTAGAAGCTTTCTAATGTTGAGTCACCAAACTTGAGAAAGATCGGTGGCTCAGCAGTGTGAATCTGAAAAGTTGTTTTCTCTATCTCTCTTCCAGGATCCCGAATATTGTCTCCGACGGGGAGGCGAAATTATCGAGCACCATCCACCGCTCTACCTTTAGTTAGACTAACTTAATTCATTTTGTGTATAGAAAATTTTTCTTTTAGACTTTGCTTTATTCTGAACTGTTTTTTCTTCTCTTCTTGGAACTCTAAACTACTCGAAATCACACCTTCAGGCAAGTTAAAAAGTTGTTTATTCAAAAGTTAGATACAAAAATCACCGATCCACTTTCTTATTTTCAGTTCTGATAACTTTTAAAAATTGTTCTTGCGCATGTTAATGTCCTATTCGACCACGTTCTTCTATGGTTCTTTATTGCTGTCTGGTGTTTTAGGCTGCTTTCGTGAATTGTCTGGCTGTTTTTATGGTGGAGGTAGCTCTCGATTTCGATCTTTATCTTCTTTTGGCGGCGATTTTAACGCAAGTCGTAGTTTTTCTTCATTAAATGCATCACCGATTGCTGTTTTTGGTCCTTGAGCAAGAATCTGTTCTAATTCAGTGTCTGAGGGATAATGATTTGTCATTGCTTTCAAATGCATCACTGTTCGACAGAAGGTTTCAAGTTCATTACTTTTCTGTTTAAAACTGTCTGAATCGAATTGTTCGTTGCTGACTAAATAGAACTCTAATTCTTTATTCCGCTCAAATTTCTAATTGTAGTAAGCTGCCTGTTGTTCAGCATTAAGTAGACGTGCATTCGAAGGTGTATCAGGATTACTGTACTTGCTGTATTCAATTTTAATTGTAATTACACATTTTGCGTTT